GGCTATGCCATGGAGACTATTCGTATAATGAAAGACTTTGGCTCCATGGCAATTGAACTGTATGTGTGTGCTCTGAGCACCATTCAGTAATAATGTGCGCTCAGACCTAAGCTATCTGGGCATATGTTGCATGTCTGTATTTTATGTCATAAATGTAACCTTGTGTATTTTATTGTATTTTACTGTCTTTTTACTGCCATGTGTTTAATGGAGTTTTGCCTCTGTCTTTGGAGATAATTGGATTACTTCACAATTATCTCCAGGATAGAAGACTCTGTGGAACTGGTTTTGGGCAGAAAAGCCATGCTTCCTGTGGTCACAAAGGACTACGATCTATCTTTTGAACCACTGGACCAATTTGTATGATTTTGACGTATGTTTGTATTTGGAGTATGCTGATTCTGAAAATGTGTTTGTGAATGTGATGCATACTTTTCAAGTTATGAATAATGTGGAAAAATTGTATTTCTCTGCTTGTGCTAAATTACATTACCCATTGTGTAAGGTAATTGAATCACATGCAGAGGGGAGGAATTTGTGTGGGAGTGTCTGAGTGTATTGTATGTGTTTATTGATTGTGTTCCAAAACCCTGTGGGTGGTACTAATATGTAAGAATGTGTACATAAGCACAATAAACCCACAGCTCTGTCTGTTCACTGCTTGACCCTCAACACGGAGCTTTGTCTCGTTCTTGGGGGGATTTATTGTATGCTTTTCCAGTTTGACTGCTAGGAGTGTAAACCTATTCGTATGGTTTTTCCAATTCGGCTGCTTACAGCATTCATATGGTTTCCTGTTCGGCAGATTGGTGCTCTGCAGTAGCTGTGCCTGCATCTCTGGAAGGGGAAGATCTACTAAACGGCGGTTTAACCCTTTTATGCTGAGGGTGCCGTTACAAAGCCCTAGTCACACCTCTCTGCATGTGACTCCTAAACACTTCTTGCAAAGAGAGATCAAATGTTTCTGCCTTATTGTAATATTTTTAACAAGAATTTCTTGTCTCCACAAACTGTTTCATTGAGCTCAAGTTTTTCTGATGACTAGTGTCCCTTTAATAGCTGGCTTTCTCAACAGAGGATCATCAAGCCAAAATAAAGCTTTTGGGCTAGGGCAGAGCTAGCATGAGCCATATCTGCCTCCTTGGCAATATCAGCCAATCCAATGCTTTCCTATGACATACTTCTGATGTCAACCAAGCAGGCAGATCCGGGGCAGAGCCAGCAGCAGACTGGAATAAAGGTAAGATTTTGCTATATTTAAGTGGGTATGGGGGAGGGGGAAATCACTAGGGCCAGATAGTGTTTTTAACACTATGCTGTATCATGTTCCTTTAAATATGACCTTCTATATCTGTATAGCAGCAAATATATGCTCCCTTACATAGTTCTGCTCTCCATTTGTGCCTAGTGCCACTTCTATGAAGAAACTCATCTCCGTTATGTTACTCAACTATTTATAATATAATAATTTGCTATTTTTTTTTTAATAGTGCTTTCCTCCCTGTGACACTCAAAGCACTTTACAAGTTTACAAACATAAAGACATAAATGTTAGGAGTTTCTGAAGGTCAGCTGAGTGGGTTTTTTTATATATATATATATATATATATATATATATATATATATATATATATATATATATATATATATATATATATATATATATATATATATATATTTGTGCCTCTCTGCGCACGGTAAAGAGTTTCAGAAAGTAGAGGCAGTGTAGCTGAATGCCCTGGAACCGGAGTCTGTCTTTATTCTTGGCACTAGTATTACTCAAGTAAGGAGCACAACCATAAATATATACACAAAAATATCTCTATTGGATGAGTCCACAGTAGTTGGATATCTCGTTAAATATAATTAACAAAGCAAAAAAAAATCATATAAATGATACAGAGCAACAGCCAAAAATTTTGGACTTGCATATACGCCAAATACGTAGTGCATGAATTGCTAAATGTCAATATCTTATGTAGCTTTGTGAGCTACCAAATCATAACCCATAAGTCAATATATATACAAAAGCATACCAGACCTAGTGAGTAGAAGGGACAGAGTCAATCAATAAGCCCCCAACTTTTCATCAAAATGCCTTTATCAAGGGAGCCTGTTGAGAGAAAGTAAATACCACCCTTATATACCCATAAGAACACAATCATAGAGAACACCTGAAGAAAATGGGTGGCCACCCATAATGATTGACATCCTCCCAACCATAAACAGCTGATTATGGTTACCAAGGAAACCAAACGCAATGACATGAAGACAATTGCCATATACATGAAGTTCAGTGTACACAGGCATTAATAGATTGTGTTAAAATAAAACATTAGCATAATTATGTATTATACACAATGACACAATGTCAGAGTATAGGCATGTACCGAAATCTATAACATATATGCAGTCCCCCAATAATAATGAAGTATTTATCATACCGTCACAAAAAAAAGATGCATACATAAGTGGAATAAATAAAGTGATATAAATGAACCAGATAGGGACATTCCAGAATGCTAGCGTCAGTCAGATAAATCGAAACGGAGGCATGAACCACACTGTGTGCCTCAATTCACCGGAACGGAGGAGGAGCATGCGAGATGGAACACACCATGCGTTCCAGCTCATAAAAACCATGGAAGCCCGATCAGCAACCAGCGCATGCGCGGAAATAGTGATTGGAATGCTAGATGCGTTTCAAGCTGCTAGCGTTCAAAAGAGCTAAGAAAAGCCCCTCTGGGACGAAAAATCCAAGAGTTGAAACTCCTGTATGGGGGAAGATGCATGCAGGAACGCCTATCTAACCAAATTAATACTAGAAAGCAAAAAAATTATACTTGTTGAACAAAATAATTATAGTAACATAAAGGGGGGGAAAAAAAGGAGAATGAAAAGAAAATACAAAATAATAAAGGGTCCCTGAGATGCACATAATAAAGTTATAGAAATTAGGAAAAAGGACAGTAGTATATGGAGAACATTCTGGACATGAGCACAATTTTGTTAAAGCACCAAAGATTGTCCTATGACAATGTGTAGTGTTTTCAAGCCAAGCATTTTTAACCGGTAAATCCCACTAATACTCTAAGATCAAGGAAGCATGCTAATCTAGTCAATGCTCGTCATGACTTATATAGAAATGCTGGGTACTAAACACAAAAAGGAAGACTTCGGATCATATTAGCTTGATGAATCTAATTTTCCTGTAGGAATGCAACTTTGTCAGTTGGTTTTCGAAACAAATCAAAACTCCTACACACTTCGATTTTTTTAATTTTTTATTTTTTTATTTTTTTTTTTCTTACCAGGATATCCAAAAAGTGTACACTGCTGGCATCATATTCCAAAGTGAATTTGATACTTGGCACATATTGATCCAAATCCGCTTTGAATAATAGGTTTGCCTCTAATTATTCAAAAGAACCATTCTTGGCACTGACAGGAAGGATTTGCTGGCTGACCAAAGTGAACGGGATGGAATATAGGGTGTCAGGAGCTCTTTCAGGTACTGTGGGCCTTGATTGTTTAAGGCTTTGAAGGTTAGCAGGCCAATTTTAAAATATATATGCCATTTATTTGGAAGCCAATGCAGAGAGTGGAGAACAGGTGTTATGTGGCAGGAGAGAGTTTGATTGGTCAGTAGTCTGTACAAAATGCAGCAGCCAGTGTGAAGGCGATGGAGTTCTTTTTCTGGGAGACCCAAGTAAAGTACATTGCAGTAATCTAGTTGAGAGGATACAAATGCATGGATTAATGTGTTGGCATATCATCCGGTAAAACTAATAGTGTAATATCTTGGCTATGTTTTTCAGATGAAAGTAGGCAGATTTTATAATGCTAAGCAACTGTTCATATGGCATGTTGGGTCTGTGGTATCTGGAGCAAAGGAGAAGTAGAGTTGTGTCCTCAGCGTAACAATGATACCTTAGGCCATGTTGCCTAATGCCCCCCAGTGGTAGCAAGTAAATTGCTAATAGCATGGGAGACCAGATGGATCCTTGTGGAACTCCGCAGGCCAGTTCTGTTGGTGCCGATGAGCTTGGTCCTGATGTTACTCTCTGTGATCTACCAGTGAGGAAAAATTTAAACCAGTTAAGGACTGTGCCTCCTAGATCACAGATGTGCTGCAAGCGCTCTTTTAAGATACTATGATCAATGGAGCCAAATGCAGCCGAGAGATCCCAGAGGATTAGAATGGAGTAATTACCTTTTTGTCTCTTGCCATAAGGAGATAATTTAGCACTCGGGCTAGCGTTGTTTCAGTGCTGTGGTGACATCTGAAACCTGACTGGAAAGGATCAAAGATGTTCAAGCTTGATAGATGTGCCACTACTTTTTTCAATTATTTTCCCTAGAAATGGTAGGTTGGATACTAGTCTGTAATTAGTCATGCAGTCTGGGTCTAAGAGAGGTTTATTTAGGAGTGGTTTTACCACAGCTTCTTTTAGAGGATCTGGGAAGTCTCCAGTTTTTAGTGAACACTGCACTATTTTTGTGAGGGCTGGAGCGAGTGTTTAAATGTATGCAGATATAAGCGGAGTTGGAGCAAGGTCTAAGTCACATGTAGTAGGTTGTAACTTTTGCATGGTTCTTTGAACTCCCTTTATATCCACATGTGTAAAAGTGGACCATAAATTGGGGCAATCTGGCATTCCATTGTAGTGGTTCTGGTATGTAACTTTGGCCTGCTGTGATAGAGGCTTGGATTGAGGAAATCGCAAATTCTTCACACTTATCCTGAGAAAAGTTGGGGATATGCATGCTGGTTTGCAGAGCCTTTCTACTATGCAAAACAGTTGCCTAGGTCTATTGTGGGAGAGTGCAATTTTGCGTGTTTTTTTTTTTTTTTGTTATATTGAATTGATATTAGTTTAGATGTAGGTTAAGAGCAACTTTATCCTCTGGATCATGTGTTTATCGCCTGTTCTTTTCATTTCTCTGGTGCTATCAAACCACGGTGCATTGTTGTGGGTTTTGACAGTGCGTATGCGTGTTGGTTCAATGCTTTCTAGAGTATATCTCATGGTTTTGTTGTAGAGTCGGACTAAGGAGCTGGGGTCTTCACGGGTGCCCATTAGTTACCTTAGAGCCGTATGTGATTTTTTACATCCAATGGTGTCTTTTAATGAGCAGTGTTTGACCAGGTTCTGAGACTGGGGTCTGGCTGATTGTGATACAATGGAGAAGTGAATGGAGTGGTGGTCTGACCAAACAACACTGACCTTGGAATTGGCAACGATTTGTGTGAAGCAGAGTGCACTCATCAAGCTGAGGAGATCCTGCCCAAGCAGGGATAGGGTGTCATCTATCAAAGTGTTGAAATCTCCCAATATAAGCTATCTGGGGTGTTCAAGGATTAAGCTAGCCTGAAGGTCTGAGATTTCCTGAAGAAATCTCTTCCCATCTCCTGAGGGTCTGTATATTAACAGTATCTGGAATCCTCTATCTTCAAAAGACTGTGATTTGTGGACTGATATCGGTCTGGGATTTAAGGATTATTTCGCACAGATCATAACTCCACCTCCCTTGTGAATTTGTCTCGGGCGATGGAACACCGTGTAATTGCCTGGAATAGCTGCCTCTAGAATAAGCCCCGCATTTTCATCTAGCCATGATTCTGTAATGCACGCTAATTCGCATGTTTCAATAAGGTCGGCAATAAAAGCCGTTTTTGTTTTATTGATCTGGCATTGCACAGGATTGATTTGATAGGACAGTCTTGGGTTTGAGTTTTTTGCTCTGTACTTTGGAAACAGTGTGTCTTATAATATGAATCACACAAAGAGGTTTCCTTGATTTGATAGTGTGGTTTTTGTGGCTTCTAGGTTGAATCACTTCAGTTGGGTTTGCAGGAAGACAGGGTGGTTGAGCATCTGTAATAGTGTCAGGAGATTGAACTTAAAGTTTTGATTTTCATCCACGACTGCCCGTCAGTCCCTTTTGAAGATGCCAAGTGATTTTAGGGTAACCACTAGCGAGGAATTGAGTGCAGCAACTGCTTTTTTTGGGATCTTGGGGAATACAGATATGAAGGAGTGTTACAACAAGGGTACATAATTCATTGTTGCACGATAGAATATTGCTATTTAATATAACTTGTGTAGTGCATCAATAATTTGAACCCTGGTAGGGGACAAATGTCAGTGAGAAATTGCTATTTTGATCAAAAGCGGCTTCTGCAAGGTGTGAAAACGATTGCCCATTTGATCTATCAAAGGCTCTGCAAGATGAGACATTTTACACTTGAGCTGCCTGTATGTCTAGTTTCAATGTAAACTAACTGACTTTGACCATATGGCCTGAAACACTTAGTTGATAGTTCAATCCTTTTGATATGGTAATAGTATTTAGTTTCATGAAGACCATTGTGTTCCAGTATCCTATCCAATATAAACATTACTTACCCACAGCTTAATAATTAAGCCTCATTTTTATTATATTTGGAATAGGATACGCCCAATCTTTTAATTAAGCCTAAACATGAGTTGCACAACTTAAACCGTGTGGCAGGAATTGTGATGTCCGTCCTATTGGATCGCGGGTGGGGCGTGCGACATGTCTATGGAATGGGAAAATATTAACAAATTTGTAGATGCAAATATTTCTGTGGCAGGTACAAGAGAATCCATTTGGATTGATATTGGTCTGGAACAAAGGAGGTGGTCACTTATTTCATTAGGTATGCCTTAACTCCACCCCTTGTTAAAACTTGATGATCCACAGTTTGATTTGGAGGGGTGTGGGTGTAATTGCTTGGGGCCAGAATCTAATTCTATGTGAGTCACCATTTTTCCTAGCAGAGACCCCCTGCTGCAGAAGTATTTACTTTAACCCCTTAAGGACCAAACTTCTGGAATAAAAGGGAATCATGACATGTCACACATGTCATGTGTCCTTAAGGGGTTAAAGAGCTGAATAAGTGGTTAAGACTTGTTATTTTATCCCTTTTTGTTTTTATTTGTTGTTGGTGTAAATAATTTGTTTATCCTCTATATTTTTGTATGCATGTGACTATATTTTGCTCATAATAAACATTTATTAAGTTCTGCCTTTTGTCTGGTAAAGAATCTCGTTACTTGAAGAGACTAATTAGTAATTTTGCAATTACATAGCTACTGTGCTAAGGTATACATTTTTTAAAAAAATTTTTTTTTTTTATTGATTTACCTGGGGGACCAAGGCACCACATTTATAAATTGTCTTGGTGGTGGCAGCGTTAAAATAGTAATAGTTATATTCTTATGTTTAAGTGTGGGTGGTGTTAAGGGGGATTTTGTCATTATTTCTGGTCTAGTGCATATAAATAGTAAGCTTTAATACTTTCACCACCACAACTATGTGATGCTCACTCTTGAAGTAGGGTGCGTTCGTGACATGGAGTTTAGGTGATCATTTCCCCCAGCAGTGAATGAGTTTAAATTGCTTCTATTTTTTTTGTAGGGATGTTAGCAGTGGTGGTTGGTTACATTGCCCTTCTCTATAGGATTCAGGCCAGAGAGAGGTGTGAGATTTTGCACGTCAGGCTGCATTGTAGATAACCGATAAAATTGCTTGCATGCAGGTCATATTACAGGAGTTCAAAACCAATGTGTTTTAGTGAAATTTTCATCAATTAGTTTTCTTAGTGTTTAGAAATGAAATCTGAGCATTGCTGAATGCAAAACCCAATTTACACATGGAGGTGAGTTGGTTTTTTAGTTTAAATGTACCTCGTTTGTGGTGTTTTCGCTGAAGGTATCTCTTCCTGGTAGTAAGATGGTCCAGTGGAAGTACACTGCTCAAAAATAACACATCCTAGATCTGAATGAATTAAATAGTCTTCTGAAATACTTTGTTCTTTACATAGTTGAATGTGCTGACCACAATCACACAAAAAAAAAAATGGAAATCAAATTTTTCAACCCATGGAGGTCTGGATTTGGAGTCACACTCAAAATTAAAGTGGAAAAACACACTACAGGCTGATCCAACTTTGTAATGTCCTTTAAAACAAGTCAAAATGAGGCTCAGTAGTGTGTGTGGCCTCCATGTGCCTGTATGACCTCACTACAACGCCTGTGCATGCTCCTGATGAGGTGGCGGATGGTCTCCTGAGGGATCTCCTCCCAGACCAGGAGTTGGAAGATGCTTTAGTCCAGGACAGTCTGTGGTGGTCTGTGGTTGGTGGATGGAGCGAGACATGATGTCCCAGATGTGCTCAATTGGATTCAGGTCTGGGGGAACAGGCGGGCCAGTCCATAGCATCAATGCCTTTGTCTTGCAGGAACTGCTGACATACTCCAGCCACATGAGATCTAGCATTGTCTTGCATTAGGAGGAACCCAGGGCCAACTGCACCAGCATATGGTCTCACAAGGGGTCTGAGGAGCTCATCTCGGTACCTAACGGCAGTCAGGCTACCTCTGGCAAGCACATGGAGGGCTCTGCGACCCCCCCAAAGAAATGCCACCCCACACCATTACTGACCCACTGCCAAACCGGTCATGCTGGAGGATGTTGCAGGCAGCAGAACGTTCTCCACGGCGTCTCCAGACTCTGTCACATCTGTCGCATGTGCTCACTGTGAACCTGCTTCCATCTGTGAAGAGCACAGGGCGTCAGTGGCGAATTTTCCAATTTTGGTGTTCTCTGGCAAATGCCAAACATCCTGCACGTTGTTGGGCTGTAAGCACAACCCCCACCTGTGAAGGTCGGGCCCTCATACCACCCTCATGGAGTCCACTTCTGACCATTTGAGCAGACCCATGCACATTTGTGGCCTGCTAGAGGTCATTTTGCAGGGCTCTGGCAGTGCTCCTCCTGTTCCTCCTTGCACAAAGGCGGAGGTAGCAGTCCTGCTGCTGGGTTGTTGCCCTCCTATAGCCTCCTCCACGTCTCCTGATGTACTGGCCTGTCTCCTGGTAGTGCCTCCATGCTCTGGACACTACGATGACAGACACAGCAAAACTTCTAGCCACAGCTCGCATTGATGTACCATCCTGGATGAGCTGCACTACCAGAGCCACTTATGTGGGTTGTAGACTACGTCTCATGCTACCACTCGAGTGAAAGCACCGCCAGCATTCAAAAGTGACCAAACATCAGCCAGGAAGCATAGAAACTGAGAAGTGGTCTGTGGTCACCACCTGCAGAACCACTCCTTTATTGGGGGTGTCTTGGTAATTGCCTATAATTTCCACCTGTTGTCCCATTTGCACAACAGCATATGAAATTGATTGTAACTCAGTGTTGCTTCCTAAGTGGACAGTTTGATTTCGCAGAAGTGTGATTGACTTGGAGTTACATTGTGTTGTTTGTGTTCCCTTTATTTTTTTGAGCAGTGTATATTTCAATCCGTTGTATACATCAGTTTAGTAATGCCATCCGCTCAATTTTGGTAAATCCACTTGTGTGATATGTGGAGTCAATATTGGTCCTTGAAGTATTTTTGATGAATTATGAGTGTAAAAAGGTTAAAATTAATTGATTATTTCTCTGGGACTCGCACATCTTGTCATATCTTTAACACACTGTTTAGTCATGTTTCTGACTTTTCTTCCCATTTAGAAAATTTTCTCTCTGTCAATGCATTTAAACCAGAGACTACATTGGCTGCCCCCACCCATCTTCTTTCAGCTAAACCAAAAATAGGGTGACAAACTTTGTCCTGAAGCGGTGTGCCTTTATGTTATGGCTGCTGCTTCTAAAAATCTGCTAGCCAATTCTGTGGTTTAAAAGTTCATAGAAGGACAGCTAAATACTTCAGTCTTGTGCTCTTGAAAGCATTGCAAAAGTTGGGGGGGGAGGTGGGGGGCGAATACAAGCTTTATTCTCATTGGTTGCTGTCAGCCTATAAAAGAACTGCATATAGTACTGACACTCAATCTAGCGGTGCTGGTATTGGGAACCACACTCCAAAAGAACAAAGTACAAAAAATGAAAGTAATATCGTACTCACAAATATATAATGCTCATTAAATTATTTTTATTGTTCAACAAATTGTAATATTAAACCCACAAACAAAATAGTAAAGGGTTGGACACTGCCTACTGTGCCAATCCTGTGTCAGATGGATGTCAGGAAAAAGTGTATTACTATACAGCCGTCACTCAAGACACATTTGGGAATGTCAACACAACTATACAGGAGCTTGTACATTTAATGGGAAACCCAAATGCAAGAATCAAAATACTGGGAGAAAGTATCCTGTGCATGAATTCTGTATC